ATCCCCATATTCATTGTCCGTTCCAAATGTCCAGTTTGACCACTTGAATTGTTCGGGAAAGCCCTGCTAAAAATAGCGCCGATCACAAGTGGTCTGAGCGAGATGAAACGGTTTCCAAAGGCAACTGCAACTTCTTACCGCACTATGAAACCAAGTAATATGATTTCTAAGTCCGTATTCAAACTTATTGAACAGTAATTATTCATCGTCAGAAGTTAATCGCACACTTGCCAATATTCAGAATTTAAATTTATTTAGCTTTAAACATATTTGTTGCCAATAAAATTGAACAAAGGATGGCGCACAAGTTTTACAATTTATCACAGCCTTCTCCCGTCATACATTTACAATTAGATATTGAATTTATTACCGGAATGTGACCGGTACAGATGGTACGGGGCTAAACACCTTCTCTCAACCATGGGACAAACCTTTCTGTAAAAAAGAATATTCACGAGACGGATATCCCTTTTCAAATGTTTTCATATAATGCATATATGCAATGACAAACTACACGCGTATAAAAAAGAGAAACGTTTGTGATTTTTTTTTATTTCATTGTACAACTCAATGTCTTTGGTCATTTTTTTTTCTAGGCCATGCATATACATTTATGTAAAGTCTCTTTCCAACTTTCACTGTCTCCATACGCTAACACTTATAATTAGTAAGTCATATTAGCCATCACACACAATAAACTGTATGGCAATACCACTACGTGTACATGTAGCATATGTGTCAGATATGGAACGTGCTGAGATACTTGATAATTATGTTTTTTCAATACTTTACATAGATTAAAGCATTCTTGTAAATGGACCCTTTTTATGTTGAGACAACTTTTCTTTAATCATTTCTTTTTTTTTTGTCCGAAACAGAAGCCGTAGTTATCGGCAGCATGCGTCAATTTTACATTGTAAACAAATGTTTTCCCCCTGTTTTCAATACGTTTTCCGATTCTATTTGAAGTATAAAATTAATTCTTTATAGAGAAAATGTTGTTACATGATCATACATTCTAAGTCAATATCATATGAAAACATGAATTGTTGAAAAATTACGATTTAAAAAAAAATATTATGCGATCCTATTTACAAGAAGTAAGTTCTCCTTCCTCAGTTTTTCATCCTGGTCCGTCATTTTGAATCTAGCTTCGATAACGTAGCTTTCTTACGAAGAGCGATTTTTATATATTGCGTCGTCGCGCCAGAGGCCGGGTATTCATATTAGTACTAATTTAAATCTTGCATGTGAAAACAACAAATAATCGTTTAATTCAGCAATATAATTAAATCATACCGTTTTACTGAACCCGGTTTATATTATAAATTATGTAAATCTAATAGCGCACGTATCTCATTTGACCCCGAGCATCGACAGAGGAGAGAACAGAATACGCCGTGGCCATCACAACAGTAATCCCTTGGAGGGCCTCATGGCAAAATCAAACTAACCAGTCACTTATCCCTTCCTTTCGCATAAACCACTATATACTTATAGAAACACAAAGTAAACTCTTTCCGATACATGCCCATTAACATATTAAACTAAGTTCATCTGTGTTCAAACTCAGGCAAAGATACTAGCGAAGTTAATAGTTTTAAATATTTATTCATAACATAAACAGCGCTAGTATTTCTATCGATTCTATTTCAGCTTAACCGGCTATCCGGAAGAATACATGCACTGCACTAACTACTAGGGCAGTTATTTTCTCCTTTGAAAACTACAATAATGATTCCGTAACGTACTCCTTGCGCTATCTTTTGACCATTTGGCAACTTTTCGCTTCGTAGCTGACACGGTACAATACTTTTCTTTCGCTTACAAAGAAATGGTGTGCTATGCGCATGCGCTAGTAGAGGGAAATCCCTGAACAAAACGTTGGTCAGATAGGTAGAAATACCGATGATTATCTTAGATTTAATCATTTTTATGAATCTATTTCAGCCAAATCCGATCGTTATTTTCCATAGGGAGTCTCACTTGATAATTATGTGTATGTAGTTTTTGAAAAAAAGGCACAAAAAAGTTACTTCACAGTGATGCCCCTTAAACGCAATTTTAAAGCATCTTTTACACTTGTGATGTTACATAATAATTTCTCATTTATAATTTTACAAAATAGTTTTTTAATTAAAATTTGAAATCCTTGAAGGTTCGGGAAATCATACGTCTATGGTATCCCACTGCATGAGGCGACAAAGGTGGACCCCTTGCAGAATCGGGGGGGGGGGGGGGGGGGGGGGGGGGGGTTCGGCAGTGTCTTTCTAAGCACCCGTCTTCATATGACCCTAGCAGCTGCGAGGACTTTAACCACCTTACTCCTCCCTTAACACCCCTCCCCCCCAAAAAAACCACACCACCACAACAACATTTTTGAGAGAAGGATATTCATAACACCGATTCATCCACTGGTCATTATTTAGCTTTGTAGATGCCATTTTGAGATAAGGATATTTATAACACCCATTCATCCACAGGTCATTATTTAGTTTTGTAGGTGATAATGGTAACACTAACCATTTATTTCATATATATTCCAGGGTCAAGACGAATACGCATCTACTTATCCAGACGCAACGGAAACTGTTTTGAATTATATATTCAAGAACAAATTAGGCATCGACACCAAGGATCACTCAGTGTTGATAGAACGGTCTCTCCCATACGTACATCAGAACCAGGAGAAACTGATTGAAATTTCACAGGGCGTTGTTACCACTGAATAATGCAATGTTTTATTCAGCACAGGCCAAATGACCGGCCTTGTGATGGAGTTGGGAGCTGGAACCAGTTATTGTGTACCTATATAATATGATGGTTATCCTATCAAAGGTTTTGTGATGTCCTCTGAAGTGACCGGCAACAAACTCACCGAATTTTTCATGAATCTTCTTTCAAATGGAGGGAATTCGTTCACAACGGTTAGAGACCCAGTGCTAGTCGAGACGATGAAGGAAAATGTGTGTTCCGTCGCGCCAAACTTGTTTTCTGCATTATCAGACTCTCCAAATGTAGTATATAAACTCCCAGACGGAACTGATTTGAGCATAGGCAGAGAGCGGTACCAATGTGCAGAGACTATGTTTAGTCCAAATCGTATTCATTGTGTGACTAAAAGTATAGCAACGGTCCTTTGTGACTGTATTATAAAACTTGATCATGTACCACAAATATTGTAAAAATATCATGTTGTTGGGAGGAGGTTCAAAATTCACAAACTTGGGGGAGAGAGTCAAGATTGAAGTTGATAAATGTCTAAATGAAACATATGCCTCTCAGACTCTCGTAACTACGCCACCTGCGGGAATACACTCTTCCTGGCAAGGAGGGTCCATTTTGTGTTGTCATAGCAATTACAATGACGTGTCAATATCAGCCGAAGAGTACCAGGAACACGGAGCAAATATCAACAGCCTTAAATGTTTATTTTAGATCTAAGGGTTATTGATATATAATGATACATCAAACCATTTACTGCTGATTTGAAAAATGTGCATGCAGTTGAATTTTGACAAATGTTTTAAGTTAATATGTGTTTTGAAAAAAAAGGAATATTAAAAATAATATAAGGTGTATATATGTGGAACTCATATATATGACCCTCATGTTCGGCTGATGTGCTATTAACATCAGAAAAATGGAATATCTAAGAATAAATACACCCGCTAACGTTATTGGTTCACAAATAAATGGAATTGTAGAACTCCATAATTAAATTCCTGAATTCGGAAATACATTTGCTGCTATGTTACATTTCCCTACACAGTTGGTCCACTTTTGTCTTTTGAAACTATCAATTTTTTTTTAACTTTTTATACTAAAAAAATGGGACTTTTGTACATTAATCTGTTTCCATTTCATTTCGGCAATAGGAAGACTCGTATACATACATCTAAATTTTAATAGCAGTGAGTAGAACGTGTGCTTGACGAATATAAGATAAGACACGTGCGGATCTAGCATAATCATGGAAAAAACAAATTGATCTGTTTTGTATTGAACGTTTTGCTTTTAAGTGCATGGATACCAAAGAAATGGTGCATTTGTTGTATCCTCCATAGACGTTATATATGTATAGCCAATTAGTGATGTTTTTTCCTCGCTTTTGATGACATCTGTTTACCCATCCAGTGTTGCTTATACTGTTTCTATCATTGATGTGATATGCAAACCTACATGTCGGTGTTGTTCGTTATTGCCTGTACCATACTGGTATTTTGATCTATGTACCCTGTTATTGGTAGTTAAAATGTTCAAGTTATGCCTGTGGTGGAAATAATAATTGTTGAACTCCGTCTCAAGGCTTTCATTGTTAAACTTCAGTTTCTATATAAGTTAACCATACCTGCGTACAGATGCTAACAAATGACTAAGCTACGTATGCTTAAGTAGGATAAGCGGAAAATGTCAATATCCTATTTTATATTGTATACTGATGTACCACGTATCAGGCCAACCCGTAACGTATTCGTTTTTGCTGTAGTGATGTTATAGCTATTCGCTCTAAATGTAAAACGCTATATTGTGAATATCGGTAGATTTAAAAGCACTAATTTCCTGCATGATTTAAAACGGTCTGGATGTGAGTATGCTGATATTTACGTGTATAATAATAAAAGGTGTATGTGTGCAGTGACTTAAGTTCAGTACTCAATATCACCAGGGAAGTTGTGGTTGAGAAAAGCAATTTATTCATTTGCATCTGTTTTATTGTTGTAAAAACACGCTTTAGCTAGATTTAGAATAAAATCAGACCAAACGCTATAGGGAAACATAAAACTGAGAATTGCAAGCGGAATTTCGTTATGATTGCCCGAGTTTGGTAGTAAGGTATATTTGTTGTTTTATCAAATTGTTGACAAATCTGAACACCCTTCCATACCTCATGGAAACTCACGAAAGTCATAATGTTTTATATTCCAAATGTACATGTAGACGCTTACATATCTGATCACCTAATGTTTTCTATTTCACGTTCAGGCACGCTTATATACCTGATCACTTTCTTCCGCCGCCGTTTTTGTAGGAGCTTGTGATGCCTTTGCTAAATGCGACTGTTTTCTGTTGTTTCCTTGTCGTGTTGACTTCAAAGTCATATTTTATCCTTGTTTGTTGATGCCGTTATATCTTGGTTTTATTTCAATGTAATTTGTCACCAATGTGACTATCCGGAATAAGCTTTAACAGGTTGAATATTTTACCAAAGAATGAATGTTGCTTTTTCAAGAGATGTATGCTTTAACGTATTACCATTGCATTTTATTCCAAATTTCATTTTTACGGAGAAATTTCATTTTTTAATGTCTGCCTTTATAAGGAATAATTGTTTTGCAGTGTTTTGTAATGTGTATTAAAAACACTGAATAAGCAAATTAATTTGCTGTTGTAATTTTTTTTTTACTGAGTGTAATTACAATTAGTACAAATGTCAGTTCCAAAATCGGTAATAAGACAAAAGACACAAACCTCCAGAACTCTTATATAGTACCGTTAACGGTTTATTGACATCAATATTTGTTAATGAGTTATGCATTGAGTTGCTTTCAGTAAATATCGATATTTTATGTAAATGACAATCAGAAGCGATACATTTCATGAATCACGCTACATGGAAGTTTTAAGTTACATTGTACGATTTTGTCTTTGAATCGACTATTTTTAGTGATGGAACTTATGGGATTCTGTTACTAATATTGGTAAGGATATTGAGCATAGGGTGACAATTTTCATCTTCCGAACGGTGCTAAAGATAATCACAATGAACGATTAATGTGACGAATGCTTACAAATATACACGACATTTATTTTGGTCAGAATGTTATGTTTTCGCAACACCCAGGGCCATATAGAAATAGGAAACGCCACTGAAAAAAAGGATAGGTAGGAAGAAAGAAGAAAAGATAGAGGTCACAAGTATTGCTTGTAAGCAGCGGAGATCTTTTTTCGTCCCGTCAATGTCCCCTCAGCAGAAAACAGAAAAGCAAAAGGCCGAATGGGACGTTAAATCCCCACAAAATGAAAGTATCGGCGCTACGGTCAAAACAGCTGAGAAGTGTTGTTTTGCGTAATGGTGAAGATACACAAACGTTCAAAATTCACGGTGCAATATTGCTGTAACATTTACTGTTTGGAGATTCCCAGAAATAGTTTGATCACTGGGTGCATAACATTTCTTGTTACCGTCAACCCAGCCAACATTAGTACATTCTTACACACAACCTCAAATAGTTGTCCATGTGACAACTCAACAAAAACTTTTTGATGTCGACCAAAAATAGAATATAATGCACATTCATATTCTACAATACAACGGAAATAATCCACATTGTCTTCTATTTGTCAGTGTTAGATGTTTCTGTAAGTTGAAGACGTCCGTCCTCGTGTGAACACAAACAGAAAACCATCCTGAAACAGCAAAATCAAATTAGATTATATAGTGGACTACTAATGTATTAAACACGTACATCACTTACACTTTGCATATCGCTTAACATAAATCTTCTAAAAAATTACAGTTTTTGTTCATATTTTATTTGTCGACCCATTTAAGTATTCCCATGTTTACCTTGATAAGCCCGGGTAACATCCGCCATACAGAGACGTTCGGAATCCTCTCCACCCCAATGCTTACCTTAATAAGCCCGGGTAACATCCGCCATACAGAAACGTTCGGAATCCTCTCCACTCCAATGCTTTTCTTATAAATCACATTATAACTAACACCTCCAACCAGGTACAGCAAAACAATTGCAAGTGCTCTGGAACAATTCAACATTGATATTTCCGTTTTAGACAGTTTTGATGTATTGATTTTATTGGGTTAAGCGTCCTATTTACAACTAAGTTCAGGATTCTCAGTTTTGTGATACGTTTGGCGTTTTGTCATTTTAAGTCTCCCAAAGCCAAACTTCACTAAAATGGACGTTCGCAAAAACATAATACATTAAACAAAAGAAATGATGTAGAAAACATAAACAGCAAAAGACTTAGTTGTATGATATATTGTATTTTATAGAACATATCAACTGACTGTACAAAACTTTATATAGCATTTTTTTCATTGTCAATAAAATTGTCACGCATTATTTTCAAAATCAGCGCAATCAATCGTAATGATGCAGAGTAAAATTAATACTGATTGAATGCATACACATCCTTTAATTAAAAAAACCCACGATTACATTCAAAATAAGTCTTTGATTATTATTGAGAATGAACAATGACAGTCGCCTCTTTACAATATTAACAATCAAAGTAATTCAAGGGTGTGTCTCCATGTGGTGTTATGTATGCTTATTTATCTCCTTACGGTGGTGCGGATCTGAGGAGGTACATATTAAATATAAGGATAAACACGGTAACAACTTTAAATAAAAGTGTTTTAACTGCTCGTCTCCGAACTACCTTGTACATCCTGTAACAATCAACATCCTATTTTATATAATCAATAAATTATATCCCCATCCTATCACAGGTTCATTATGTTTAGGGGGGGGGCCTGCCGTGAAAACCAAATATGCATTGGAAATTTATAACCAATGAAACCAACGAAATATATTTTTGTACTTACGCCACACAAATAATTGTTCCCACAGAAAACACATTGTTGTCATCGTCTGTGGAGTCGCCGTAACAAGTGTATTTACTATGGAGCTCAAATTGCTGTTTAAACATGAAAGTATTCATGATAAATAACTATATATTTTGACACCGATCAAACTGACAAATATGTTATCTTCGTTCGATATGCTAAGTTACATTTAAATGTAATTATACCATACAATATTGAAAATATATAACAGCTAATCATCTTCCGACAGATCATATTCGATACGTACATGATACAATCAGGTTGAACCGTGATTACTTATATTTTGTATGCGTCCGATATTCACATACTTCGCTACTGATTTTAAAACATATACTTGCAAATCGACCACTTCCAGGATCCGACTCAAAGAGGGGCACGAACCCTCCTTCCTGCGACTGATCACAAATCAGGGCGATGTGAGAAGAGCTAGAACATCAGGGTTATAACATCATTATATCATATCCATTAATGGAAGTGAATGTCTGAATACGTTAACGGAGATAATGCATTTGCTGGATAACTCAAAATCAAATAAGAAATATTATGATCATAAATGTATCTTGCTCAGTTTATCTTCAAAAAGGGCACTAGGATTCAAAGGAGAAAACACTTTTTTTTAAGAAATTGATAAAGCTGTCAAATATTTCTGGTTTAAAAGATAATTTGGTGGTACACTGCCAATTTTTAATAACGTAATTCTTAACGTTGCACAAAATGCGATCTATAACGTTAAACCTCATTTAACCTCCGAATAAAGTGACATGCTGGACAACCTTAAATTTTAACGTTAATGTAATGTTGATTTTTTGTTTTACTTGTTATTAATGGTTTTTTTTTCAATTTATTGTTTTCAACTTCAAAATATAACACCAACATTATTAATAATTTTGAATAATGTTCAGATTACATCATCAATATTTTGTTAAGAATTTTCAAGGCTTAATACTGAATTCTGACACACTTGGATAATGGTACAAAAGTGCCCGAAATATTCCATCTATCCAAATATATATCTACATCCACCTAAGCATCTATCTAAAATCGACCAAATCATCTGCCTAGATTCTACCTGAACTTCAATGTGAAATTTACTACATATGTATTGAAACGTTCTGTCCAATACCATCTAAATATCTATATCAATCCAAGTTGAACATCCGTGTAAAATGATAACTGTGTCACCTCATCCTCGATACTCTAGGGGAAACACTAACTATTGCTCTCTGCATCCCTGTAATATGTCATAGCGAAATTGCAGGTCACGGTTAGCTATTTGATTGGTCTCAGGTAAAACAAACAGACCAATCGCTATACCTGATCTTTGAAGATTACAGCCGAACGACACCAGACTTCAAAGCCAGTCAATTTTACCGTTTGGCGACCGCGAGATTCCTTTGATGTACATCAAAGGATCAAACTAGTCTCCTTGTCTCATCCACAAGGTGACACACACTGCGCTTTCGATTTTGCTATGACATATTCCAGGGGTGCAGAGATCCAAAGTAAGGTGTATCTGGAGTATCGAGGATGACGCAAAATATTCATTCCCCGAACCTGCACGAGTTAAAACAGATGTCCATCTTAAATCAACCGAAAACCACATATACGCCTGATACAGCGAGGTGAAGTCTCCAGTCAGTTGTCAACTTTAAGGCATTAAGCCGTGGATAACCTTAGGTATGATATCAAGATAACTTGCTAGCCAACCCCCAAAAAACTATCACACAAACACGGCTACCAAAGAAATCCAAACGGAATTCTCCGACCTAAAGTTTCCAACATTAAGGACTTAAATAAATCAGGATGATTGATTGACGTACTATCAATAGCTAACGTCAGTCAAGGAGGACGTGCCTCTATGTGTGTTGTGAATGCGTGCATATGTACATTTTGCTGGAGGCAGGGCATGCTATTGCCTTCTTGTCATAGGACGGATCTGATGCAGACTTGATAATGATATCTCTCTGAAATACCATGGCGAAGGCACCCAGCACAGCATTCCACCCGGTCACATTATACTGACAAAGGGTAAATTGAGCACACATGACAGGTATGATGTCATCTCAACGCAAACAACCTTCATAATTATAACAAACAGATTTGGTCGCACACCCGATTGTAACAGCTATTGACGGTCAAGATCATCTAAGGACGTGTAGTTTTGATATGTAGTGTATGCATTCTGGAGGCGGTATGTGGGTGTATGTGTCTCCTCGCACGGGTGTGTTGCCGACTAAAGAGTACTACCTTCCAAAATACGATGCTTTAGGAAACCCACCCTGCCCGGTCAAATTACACTGTTGTATATTCGGGAGTTTGAAATAAGGAATGAAAAAGCAATTTAAAATGAAGAAGTTAGAACAAGGAGAACACATTAAAATTAGATAATCAAGCACTTTAATGTTAGAAATTCTTCATTAGATTGACGTAATAAAATGCAACAGAGATTATACATTATATAATAAGCCAGCACTACAATGATTTTACCGTTGAATTGTCGGTGTACCAGTTTCAATGTGTTGGTAGGACAACGACACCTGACCAGCATCGTTTGTGGAGAATACAGCTGTTTCAGTGGTTCCCAAATTGAAGTAGACGGCAATAGGCGGTGCCAGATGGATGTGACATACCTTCACAACGTGACAATAAACATGAATGTTATGAGAATGTACATATAGTCAACAAAAACTATTAATAAAAATCAAAAGTGTTTCAGTCTTCTGCAATTTATTTTACTGTACACCATTCTATCCATTCCGTCTTTGCGTATTGCAGAGTTATCTTCTCTTTGGAGCAGGTATTGATTGTTACGTCATTGGTTTGTGCGAGAAAATTACGTCGTTTTCTCAAAAAATGATGACGTTACTCTCACAAAAAAAGTGACGTAACAATCAATACCTGCTCCCAAGAGAAGATAACTCTGCAATACGCAAAGACGGAATTGTCGATTACATTGTAAATGGTTGATGTTCGGAAGGTTATCTTGATGTAACATAACATATTCCCATTAACAATATGTATACTTCCGACAATCCGGTAAAAGCTCTATCCTATGTTATTGTTATTAATTGAAAATCTATACGTTTCGATATCCTTTATCATAATAATTCCTTCTTCTGATTTGCTGCTTTTTGTTTCAATGTTAAAGGTAATTTACATAGAAATCATAATTAAAAGCGTATGCTTATCATACACTATGAACAAAGCAAGTTAAACATAACATTTCCTCAAGAACACACTTATGTATACAGCTATCTTAAATATGGTCAATTATAATGCTTAATAAGTTATATTTAAGTTCACAGGGTAAGATTTTGTTGATTTTTTTTTATCTCGGAATGTTGGGCTATTGGCGCCCAGAGTTTGTACCGTCTTCATTAGTTCCATGTTATATTGATTTGATTTCTCTTTTTTCTATCACCTGTTGGATTGAGTCAACAGTATCCAAATTGGATCAAAAATTCATTCTGCTTTGTACGACATTGTTCTGCTGAAATAAGTTGTCGTTTTACCTATTTACAAGCAGAGTACTGAATGCGTAACAAGGTGTACCTCATGTGAGATTAGTGAAAGACCTCTAAAGTAACTATTATATGAAATTGTTATAACCAGATTGAACTGCCCAAAGTCAGTATTTGCTGTCTGGTGGCTATCTTGTGGCTATCTGGTCAGTCTCAAAATGAAACATGCACTATGATGGACCAAGGATAACCGAAATATTAAATTAAGGAATCCCTTTAGTACCTACGATGCAGCATAGGACGTTTATCATTCCTGATCACGTGGGCCTCTATGTATGAACCCGTCTCAATGCTCGAACTCAATTTCACTGTTCAAGCCCAATTCCTTCTTCCAGTGATGAATTTATATAAATTACCCTTTTCTCGATGATTTGGAAGAATGTTAGAGAGTCGTAAAGCCAAATCCTGTTTTCAATGACTAGACTTAACTTTTTGATTGTGTCAAATTATTTCAGCTAGTTTTATGAAAGTTGGTTTGAGCACAGAATCCATGCTTTCAAGCTTGGGAAAGATTAATTTAATACGGGACGTTTTCAATGCTAATTATTCCATGTTTTCCTTTTTTGCTGTTGTTTGATAGATTATGAGTTTCAATTAAGGTTACAGTCTTTGGTGTAATACTCTCTTCGTATTTTTTATCACTAGTTTCTATACAATAAAGTATAAAACTGTTGATTATATAATCGACCATCTTATGTACTTACAGCGACACCCTGGCACGACGAGCCAGAAGGCTGTAGGAAGTCCATACACGGGTTCCAGGAAAACATGTCGTCACTGCCAGGACTTACAGGGACATCATAAAATCTAAAAAAGCAAACTTGTGAGAAAAATGTTGTTTGTGGCTGAAACAGTTATCTTTTCAAGCACAGCGATTTAATAATATCCATACACTACAATAGACACTTGTATATGTATGTAATCCAGTAATCCATCTATGGTGATTGAGATTGAAAAAAGATTGAATGTAAACAATCCCATATTTAACTTTTGATAGATTGTGAATTATAAATTGTCACGCTTTTGTATATAATAGAAAGGGCAATAGAACGTTGTCGATAAAAGCTCAGTCGCAAGCATACACTACCTTTTCCTTTCAATAAATGTTTGTTTGACCAGGCTCAGGCTAGGTCGAGTATCAAGGGAGACACCGCCAGAACGGGAGGTAGACAGGAATGATTGGAAACGAAAAATAACCCAAATACTTCAACAGGGCCACGGACCAATCTTGCAGTGGGATACAGCAGACTTATTCTTTCCACAAAGCTGCACGTGTTTCATTAAATGTAAACAAATCTGTGAAATGACTCACTTTCTTGTCTATGGCCTGCTCTATTGTCTGCACATCAACCCACATTACTTATCATTTACTTCTATCATAAGACATCCAATTAAAATCACTTTGGTACAGAAATTAGTCGACCAGGGTTTTCTTGACGCCATTTCCGGTTCCGATAAAAAAAATTCTCTGAATGCTGCGTCAGTCATGATAGTGACTTAAACTGTAGTCTCCTCCATGATGATTACGATATCTTGTCGTACCCTCGTCAAAAGGGAAAAGGAGGAGGCCTTGTTTTATTATATAATAAGAAAGTTGATGTTTCTGTTGTCAAGTTTGAATTAGACGCACTTCTATGGGTTAAAATCAGGCAATTAGCTGCCGTTAATATTTTTATTTGTTTTTCTTATATACCACATGTCAACAATGTATACAACACTTTGTACGAATACGATGTTTTCGATGTCATCGCAAATGATGTGGGGGTTTTCTCACAGTTTGGTACCGTCATTGTTGCCGGTGATCTAAATAGTAGAATTGGAACCTCAGTTTAATTCAAATTTTGTTTGACAATACATCGAAATACAGTTGACTACATAGAGTCAGATACCGTGTCAGGTCAACTCTCAATACGCTCTCAAATATTTTTGTATACGACAATGATACTGGTATGTCTAATCGTATATCTGATGATGTTATTGTTAATACTTTTGGTCGTAAACTGTTGCAATTGTGTAAAAGTACCGGCTTTCGGGTATGTGAAGGTAGATCGCCTGGTGATAACACGGGTAAATTTACTTTCTACAATCATTTTGGGTCAAGTGTAATTGATTATGTTCTCATACAAAAATATTCCTTTGGTATGATCACTGAATTTAATGTGCCTGATTTTAATGAATGGTCTGACCATGCGCCAATTGATTTTAAATGTAATATAACATTCAGTCCAATTGATGTACATGCAAGTGATGATAATCTTGTAAATAACGTTAAAAGTAATTTAATAATAAATGCATGTAAATGGAACGCTGATGAAGAAGCTCAAATGAATAGTAATTTAGATGAGAACATTAATTTATACATTATATTGTTAATGACATGCAGTCCTCTGTTGTCTCAGTAGATCACGGTATTGATCTTTTTTCATCTGTTATAAATGAAATATTTAGCACATGTTGTCAATCTTTTTCTACTCCACCATCTGACAGTAAATTAAAATATCGTGCCCATAAACCCTGGTGTGACGATAAATGTAGACGACTGTACAAATTGTATCGACGCAGTTTATTTTCTTTTAATTCCGATAGAACCCCTGTCAACAGGTTGTCTCTTGTCGAATCCAAGCGTAAGTATAAGCGCTGGTTAAACGTAAATAGTTTAGATCAGATTGAGACCGTTTAAGTTTGTTACGCAGAAAAAATCCTAAACTTTTTTTTATCAATATTTTAAGAAAAAGTCGGACTGTCCCACAAACCACTTGAATCTTGCAGACTTTTCCGAACATTTTAAAGCTGTAAGTAGTTGCCACGATGATGCTACAGATAATCCAAATATTTCAGACTCCGACAATTCACAGATTTATGACGAATAAGATTCTCCTATAACAGATAAGGAAGTAATGAGTGTTTTAAAAAGTGCTAAATTAGGTAAAGCTCCTGGAATTGATAACACTCTTAATGAATCTTTTGTCAATCATAAGGAGACATTTGCTCCTATTCCCTCAAAACTATTTAATGTTGTTTTTGATATGGGCGTCTTTCCTTCAATATGGTCCAAGGGTATCATTTTCACTTTGTTCAAAAAAGGTGATGCCAATGATACAAACAATTATAGAGGAATCACATTAGTAAGTTATTTATCTAAAATATTTACTACTGTTTAAACAATAGATTGCTAGATTGATCTAAGGATTACAACATCGTCTCTGATGCCCAATTCGGATTTAAACCTGGTTTTGGAACTAATGATGCTATTTTTGCTTTACATGGTATAATTAAGAAAATGCTTTCTAATTATCGTAAGTTTTAATGCTCTTTTGTTAACTATCGTAAGGCCTTCGATAATGTGAATAGAAATAAAAAATAAAAAAATAAACTTTTTCATAATGGAATCAGAAAAAAATCCTGTGCTAGATATAAGTCTGAATTGTCTGAATTTTGTTCGTGCTCACGAGGCTTGATGCAAGGGGAGGAATTATCTCCCTTCCTTTACTCCATGTGTGTCAATGATTTTGAAAATGAACTTATTAATACTTCCTGTGACGCTTTATTCTTAAGAGAGATTTCTCTGTTCTCCTTATGCATACAGATGCTACTGTCCTTTTCTCAGAATCTGCCTCTGGCTTGCAGAAAATGTTAGACTCCTTAAAACAATATAGCGACAAATGGCAATTGACAGTCAATATGGAGAAAACAAAAATTGTTGTATTTCGTAAAGGCGGAAGATTACGAGCTGGCGAAAATGTTTACTTTAATGGCATTGAAATATAAATTGTTGATATACTTAATTACCTTGGTGTACCGCTCAACTTTAATGGTAAATTACAAAAACTCAAGTTACTATTGCTGAACAAGGTCGTAAATGTATGCATAATGCGTTCAGAATTTGTAACAATTTGTCCCTCAATGAAGAATCTAAACTTAATGTTTTGATGTCTAATGTTTCCTCCATTCTTAATTACGGTTGCGAACATGGGGTTTCAATGTTGCGGACAAAGTAGAAAAAGCGCATGTTGATTTTCTAAAAACAATTCTGAATGTACGCCATCTTTTATGGAATATTAGGAATTAGGACGTCTGCCTTTGCATATCATCAGGAAGTGTCGAATAATCAAATATTGGTTGAAACTAATTAAATGCGACAATTGTGTTCTTAAGTCAGTTAATGAAGATATGGATGAATGTAATCACAGAAACTGTAATTGGCGTTGTCAAGTTAGAAAATTATTATTGTCTTCTGGTTTTCGTAATGTCTGGTTAACTCATTGTGTTGATAATGAAAGGGTATTTTTACATTGTTCCAAGCAGCGTTTGACAGATGATTTTATTCAAACAAGGAATGAATTTGTTGAAAGATCATCCAAATGTTATTTGTATACATTTCTGATAGATAGCTTTATGTTACAATTTTATCTAACTAAGTCTATTCCAGATGCGTATCTTAAGCTTATTTCGAAATTACGACTTTCATCGCATCGGTTATATGTAGAAGACGGTCGGTATCGTAATATTCCGAGGGCGAATAGGTTATGTCGTTATTGTAATCAAAACCAGGTAGAGGACGAGTTCCATTTTGTACTGATTTGTCCACTCCATGTTGATAATCGTAAAAAAATCATTCAAAAGTATTACTGAAGCCGTCCATCTTCTTAAATACTTGTCCAGCTGCTATCTGTACGTAACAGAAAAGAGCTGTGTAATCTAGGAGAGTATCTGCAATCAAGTTGGTTAGACCGGTCTAGATTCCAACCTTAGGTTATTGTGTTTGTTCTCACTCTGATTGATAATATATGAGTACTTGTTTATTTCCAGGTTTACACATATTGTTTTGTCCATCCCCTGAGTACACCTCTGTATTGTATGCCTGTTTTTTGTTTTTGTAATTAACATATTCTTTATGGAGCCCCGGTTGATATTATGCTAATAAAATGATGTCAACTCATCTGTTTTCCGATAGTCACGGTACACTTAGGTGAGGTAATTTTACAAGAGCTGTCCATCTTCCGATAATTCCTTTATCTTGTACTTTATAATAATTTAAAGAATTATACTTTCCATGTATAGGTACTAAATATATATGCAATGTACAAGATTATGCTTCATTAATGATTTTATAATTATTTGGTATTTCATATCACTGATGTATCTGTGTATGCTTATGAGCCGTTAGGCTTCAAATTGAATACACAATATAATACAATACTTCTTAAGATCATCGGAGTTGCCAACTTGGTGTAATACACGTTGCTATAGGTTAAGATCGGAGTAGAACGAACGCTCACCAAATTCAAAAGCTAGACATTACAACGTTAGGCGTTTGGAAAATTGGGAATTAACGTCCCTGCAACAGTCATGGCCATTAAATACGAGCACCTGTCTACTGCTCAATCCCTAACCTTCACTATGTATTGGTTTACTCTGCGTTATTTTGAAAAGTAACGTATCATTTTGTCATATTACTTGTTGCAGTTTCCGATTTATTTCTGTTAAATAATTTAGAGGTTCTTTTTAATCATCTGGGGCATATTTGTTACATTATAATTACTCAGTGTTAAATTTTTTCAGAGATATATGAATTGAAAAACATTCCTAACAAATCGTTCAAACATTAATTTTACAGTCAAATACTAAATCATAAGTTATATACAGTTCATATATACGTACCTCGGGCTGTTTACATCGTTACTCGATAACGGCGATAGGTCTATCTTTCTTCCGTCAGAAAACTGACACGAGCACGAATTGACCTGCACACATTCATCTGCGGTAATACTCCCATCCTCAGATATTACTAAACACAAAACAAAACACAGAAACGTTCGCGTCAACGGATTCTCCATAATACCAGTTTCATAAATATTACTTGCATAAATCCCAAATTATCAATATCTATAAATACATATTTAATGTATCACATTCATCTACACGAAGCTGATTGATAACAATTTGAAACTGATAACTACCCAGATAAATAGAATAGGGCAAGTTATCGGTTGTCTATAAACAATTAGCCGTCATAATGATATATCTAACGTTTATATAGGAAAGTTGCATATATATCTGCGTAAGATAATATTTAGCTTGTTCATTGTACTGCGTATATATTTCCATCCCTCAGTACCACTGATGCATTTAAGACCTAATTGGGAGAAACGGCACTATGGTGCAGACTAAAACACGTTAAGGTAAAGGGTACCAATGACTTAAACTTTATGACAATCACTGTCAATTTTGTAAAATAATAATCCTTACGGAATATTTCATAAAATCGCATTTTACAACGCATTTTACAGAACTGAATTAGTTCGGAATTTGAATGTTTAAAAAAAAACACACAAACAAGGGATCGCACTCAAAACCTTTATATTACAACGCCTACACCTTACCAATACCGCCATACAGGAATCACACAAGCACAGCATCAAAATGAGTGTCCAAAGTAAAGACAACAATTAAAAAGAAAAAAACCCAGTACGATGCAGTCTGAGTCGACTAAGTGTAACCTGCGAAATCGGGGTTTGGGGGGACACAAGCCACGATTGAGGTAGCATTGTAAAGTCGGTATTATGTATATGCTACTGCAAGGAGGCAAATATACCAACATGTCGCCTCCAACACACATACTCACGTGCATGTATATATGACTGAAGTGGAAGCACGTCCTTGAATTACAGTTGCTGTTAATAGGACATTGAACACATTAAAACCGAAGTAAACCAAACAAATATGTGCTGTTGCAATGAGACAACTACCCCAACACACACCCCAAGCACACATACACTAAACACACGGAGGCAGGTCTTTAAATGAAAAGCAACTAATCCTAACAACAAACATCAGCGTGCTCTGCTTTGTTGCAACAGCGTAAGAAATAATTCAGGATGACTATATGTATCTCGAGTCTTTAGATGTGCCCACTTGGAATCTCAGCAAACCCTCCAACCTAGTCGCCCCAGCAGGTTTGGGATTGAGAAAAACAATATCTGCTGTTAGCCACTGCATCAGGTAAGAGGCAACTGAGCCACTGAAGGGAGCACTAACACGACACGTGAGGTAATAAGTTATAGTCTCCATCAGGTCCGTGCTACCAAACAGTGACACACCCACCAACACACAGCTTCCAGCACATATTCACGCACACATGTACGAGGGCAACTCAAAACAAATATATCATCTGTGTCAAGAATTACAGATATGATGTATAAAGTTGCACTACCAAGAACATAACTAGGGGAATACCGTTTTTCAGAGAGTAATTTCTCTGGTGATGGAAACAGAACGAAGTCACAGGGACTTAAATCTGGTGAATAGGGTTGGTTGTCAATCTGTGCTACCTTCTCTTTCTTCACAAACACCTTTACAATATTACTTTTGTGGAATGAAGCAATATCGTGAATTAGCCGGATCCCATTCAACCCTAAATTTGCTTTTTCATGTAGAATCATTTGACAGGTGTTCAGTGCGTTTTCTCCATAAAACTTGGCGGTTATGGTTTCACCTTCCTTGTACGGTATCTGAGCCACAGGCCCACTAGAATCGAAAATAAATTGAGAACAAAACTGTCTTTGCGCTTTTTATTCGTCTTGCAATCACTGACCTTTCCTGATATCGCGACAACCATTGCTTGTTATTAATGCGCCTCTGGGTTCAAAGTAATAGACCAAGGTCTCATCCCCTTTAAGTAATTCAGAAAGCTTCCTGGAGTCGCAACTACTGTACTTTTTCAATGCATTTTTATTACATTTCTAACGTTTGACCTTTTGTTCAGATGTCAGCAAAAAAAGGAGGTTATATCGTCCATAATGATTGCTTTCATAACAATAATGTTCATCTTTGATGCTCCAACAAATGCCTGCCTGGCCGTATGTCCTCTTTGATGTAAGTTTTACCATTTTTGAATTCGTTCACCCACCTGGAACCAGATCTCAATATGACGGCGGAAGTGCCTTTTAAGCTGCACATTTCTGTATGTATTTGTTTTGGCTAAATCTGTAAAGCACATATAGGAGCGTATTTAAGATTTAGTCTCAATCTTCATTTGAACATTGAAAAGTAGCCACTAGTCACGAGTATATATATATATATGTGTATTGTTAAGCTATTTTTTTTAACTTCTGACAATATGTCAGAAATATAGAATTCTGGAGGTGTTTTGCATAAATATAATATGAAACATATATGAATGCAAAATCTGTTCATTCCCCATTTATGTATAGTTTTATTTATAATTATCTATACAGAAAATAAGTGTTGACAATTATTAATATGAATATAATATACATTATTAATTTTGATATAGCGCCCTATCTAGCTAAGCTAAGTCACTCTAAACCGCTTTACAGTACATAGATATACAATTTATACAATCAATACAATTAGCATATATACATTAATCAATACAATTTTGAGGAATTCGCAGGAGCTGCCTTATCAGGCGCTAATTACCAGTCCTATGCCACCTGGCTAATATCTCTCTATGTGTGTATGCCTGCTTGTGTGCTGGAGATGTATTGTGTTCTGTTTGTAGTGAGACTGCTTCCAACGGCATCATTTATAGTGCCACCTCACTTGAATGCAACAGCACAGATACCGCCTCATCCACCCCAGACCATTTTATACTCCACCTGAGTTGTTGGAGTTGTGTGGGCAGGAGAAAAACACTATCTCCGAATATCCATGCTTACAACGACGTCTTACAATTCACAGCAGTAAGAACATAACTTAATAATAGAATGATAAAAAAACAAATTTGTTTGATTTTCAGTGTTTCTTTTTATTAAATTTCATTTGTATATCATCATCACCCCCTTAACAGGAACTCTCAGAACAACATTATCATGATACACCGAGTATACCAGCATTTATACCTATTGTGATTATTTAAATAAATACCAGCATTTATACCTTTTGTGATTATTTAAATAAATACCAGCATAAATATAAGATGCATAGTGTTTTTTGAGTTTGTATTTATCTTAATTTATTTCCTATTTGAATACATTTTTTCTATCCTACTCTCACATAGTATCATAAATGAAATTGTACAGTCTCCTGGATCAAAGAATATGGCAATTTACCATTGAAATAAAAATTATATAAATTAAGATTGAACATGTATAAACAAATTGAAATCTTTGGAGCATTAAATGGTAGAAGTGAAACCTATGAAATGTGTTCTTAAATGAAATGGAAAACAAATTATGTATATGTAAACCCACCAGCTTTCTTACTAAAATATAATTTTAAAGTTGTTAAAAAAACCAGCACACAAACCCTGATCATCCAACCATCAATTAATACTTGACAATGATTTCGAATATCTGTCAGGCATACTATGCGGGTTACATACAACAGTAACACTGGCAAAAGGGAGACAATCTGTTTCAAGCATGATTTGCAGTCCAGCCATTCTACCAGAAAATAGGACAAACATCCAACATATTTTGGTAACAAAACTATTCCTTTGTTATGATAGATAATAGAAACAATCTACCAAAATAACCCTTCGGGGAAATGTTCATTTTTACCTTTTTTGGAATCAGAAAAACCCTGTACATTATACAAATGACTAGCTCTGAAGTGAATTATCAACCATTTGAGTAATATTGAACATGAGACATCTAAAGCATGGCAAAAACAAAATATGTACAATATAATCTGCTTAAATGTTGTAACAAATTCACTGCATTGCAAAAATATAAAACAATAAAAATGGCTTAAAAATACATGTACCGAATTCTCAAGTTTAATATTGCTTTTGTTGCTTAGCTTTGTGTCTTACAATTTTCATCTAAAGAGAATTCTTTTATCTTTTACAATAACAGAGTTTGAACCTGTGTGATAAAAAAAAGAATATCTTGACAAAACTTTAAGTTGGTATACATCTATGCTGGAAATTAATGCAGAATTCTCTCATCTTTGTATGATTTTGTTGATTCAAAAGTTAATTATTCTAAATCACAATTAATTAACATTTTTATTTTCTAAAGTCATTACCTGCTTCTTTTCATATTTATACTGTTTTACTTTTCCAGGCTGTATAATTATTTTTGATTTGCAGCCCCAGAGCAGATATTTTTACAGCATTTCAAATTAAGCAATTTTTATATTACTAAATCCCAACAAATAAAGCACTATATGATTCCCTTTGAGCATGAGTTTATTCACAACGGTCAGGGTGAGCCCATTGGTCCAATACTCGTCCAATCCTCTGTTTGACGGGGTCAGTCACATCCGACATCTCCTTAACAACTGACTGCAAGAAAATATTTCACCCAAACATAAGTATACACATACAGTTAAATGTTTACTATTGCATAGCAATACCACTGTATTTATAACCGAACAAAATCCAGGTGGCATTCATATCAGCGCTGTATGAATATATTATTTCGTTGACCTAATTGTTGATGTCATTGTTACTATGACATCCAAATAGTGACATTGGATATTACTGACTCTTCCTAGAAGTTGGCTGTTCCATAAATTGAACAAGCATAAACAATAAATATATATATTTTCACTATGCGCCTTATTTGAATGAACAAATAAAAATGTGATTTTTTTTTCATTTCAAAACTGTAAATAAGAAACGTTGCAGTTATTAAAGTTTACATTCATTGTCAATATAAATTCAATGCCAGCTGCATAGTTATAAACTACAAATAGTGATAGAGCACTTCAGGGAAATTTGTTATTTCTAGTTGGCGTTTATTATGACTATAAATGCCAAACGAGGCAGTATAAATATTACTTGATTCTATCCAGGTATATGACAAAAACTTTTCATATGGTTTTAAAGTTTAGAAAACATTAAACAAAGTTCAGATTTGATCATGAGCATGTCAGCTTGAGTCAATCAAGAAGTATATGAGTACACATATCAAATTTATTACATGTACTATAAGAATAATTCATAGATCCACTACCACTTACGGTCTAGCCACGCTGAAATTTTACACTCAAGATATCATAAGATATAGTTTTCTTTTCAGAAATGACTTATCAAAGCTACACTCATGTCAGAAAAAATAAGACATGCATGCCCCTGCCACCATATGAAATTAGTTCAGTGTTTGATGTTTACATTGAATCAGGACAGGGCGAACATCGGCAACACTATATGCCCCTTATTTTATGATGAGGACATGCAAAACAGTTTCCAATCTGCAGTTACAGGTATTGGCAGTAGTACAGGGATGTTTAAATATGCAAGGGAGAATACTCCAGCTCTGTAGAAAACTCTTCTCCCCAATTATCATTTGTGCAGTCATAATCTTGACCTTTTAAGATATTGTGTGTGTGATTGATACTTACATCTGGCAATGTTATGACTTGACTGTTCTGCACCATCTGTTCAGGTGTCCTGGCACCGACAATGACCACAGGACAGTTATCCTGCTGTAAAATCCAGGCTAGGGAGGCCTGGGCCATGTTTACACCAGCATTCTTACAAATTGCCTGCAATTTGGGCAATGCCTAAAAAATAAACAGCAGTGTGAGTAAAAAGAAACAAGTTCAAACAGAAATTGTCAATATGGGAGAGCAGGACAGATAAAAGGATGAAATGTTATCAATATCAATATCATAGAACGTTTTGAACATGTTACAATGGTATTAAAATCTAGTGTGTCAAAATCCAAGATCCCCCTCCTGTTACACTTATCTTTTCTGCACCCTTGGATTATGTCATGACAAAATCAAAAGCTTGCTGTAATCTATTTGACTGGTTTCTGGTAAAAAAAACAACACCTGACCAATTCCTAGGATGTAGTGAGATTCCTTTGATCTCGCCAAAGATCTGAGACTACACCTTACTTGTATAATCCGCAAGGTAGCATAAATATCTTTTGATTTTGTCAAAACATTAAGAGAAGTGAGAGCGGATCCCTGGGTTTCGAAGATGTTAATAACTATGTATATGTACTACATTGAGGTAAAAAAAACAGAAATTTAGAGTACTCCCGTTCTGATTATGAAGCGATTCTGACAAATTTAAAGAAAATTAGCATGATATTTGAAATTGCAGCTGGAAAATGGCTTATTTTTAACAGTCACCGAAATTCCAGTGAGAATGGTAGCAACAAATGGGAAAAAACACCCTGCATTACTTTGGTAGGATTCACATTACTTCAACACCATGCATTACTTTGGTAGGATTCACATTACTTCAACACCATGCATTACTTTGGTAGGATTCACATTACTTCAACACCATGCATTACTTTGGTAGGATTCACATTACTTCAACACCATGCATTACTTTGGTAGGATTCACATTACTTCAACACCATGCATTACTTTGGTAGGATTCACATTACTTCAACACCATGCATTACTTTGGTAGGATTCACATTACTTCAACACCATGCATTACTTTGGTAGGATTCACATTACTTCAACACCATGCATTACTTTGGTAGGATTCACATTACTTCAACACCATGCATTACTTTGGTAGGATTCACATTACTTCAACACCATGCATTACTTTGGTAGGATTCACATTACTTCAACACCATGCATTACTTTGGTAGGATTCACATTACTTCAACACCATGCATTACTTTGGTAGGATTCACATTACCTAAACACCCTGCATTACTTTGGTAGGATTTACATTACCTAAACACCCTGCATTACATTGGTAGGATTCACATTACCTAAACACCCTGCATTACATTGGTAGGATTCACATTACCTCAAACACTTCCTTCTCAGCTCCAGGTTGACCATGTCTGGCAGATTTGCAGCTGTGTGAACATAAAAGTTTCCAATCAAAAATCAATTCAACTTGACAGATCAGGGCTTTGTCACATCAAAACTCCTCACGATTTGTGTGAGGAAGGTTCAAGACATTTGTCGTTTTATTCAGGCCCTGTAGCCTTTAGACAGACACTGCTTGGTCTCTACAATGTGTGACCATGCGCAAGTTATGCGAACATTGTGTTATGCCAAAGTTATGTGAACATTCTGTTAGTTAGGGAAATTCCCTTAAGTTTTTCCTTGGAAATTGTTGGAGAAGTTCAGGAAAACTTACATAATTTTTATTGTTTCCAAACTCCAAAATATAAACCCTTGTTATTCTAAAACAGTTTAAAGTTACAGATAATTTTCTTTTCATTTGAATGCAAATATAGTCCTTTCTCCTCATACAATACATAATACATTAAAATATATTTATAAATTGACTGTTTTGAGTTATATCATATATATGTACTCCATTTGTTTAAATTAATTGAAAATCTAAATTTACACCAACAGCTCATTGATGATGTCATAAAAAACACCCACTGCAGATGTGAGGACCAAAGCATTGTTACATTATTTTAAAAGTTTGTACAGATTACAATTTGAAAGTAAATTTTTACCTTAATGAAACTGCCTACATAATGTATGGCCCCGACTAAGATAAAGTTTTTGATTATAATTAATATTCTATTTCAATAGATATTCTTCTTCAAGTACTGATTTTAACTGACATAGTCAAGTCACAACCTGGTATTACCTCAATGTATTAATTATAAATTACTAAACCTTAATAAAATGTCATTAACAGAACACTTAATTTATCATAAATATGATAATTCCTTGACATGTCACCTACACATATACCAACCTGATATCTATAAATATTAAAACTAAATTATTGATACCATTTTCAGACCATGATAAAACATTTTCATCAGAAAGACCCTAGATATGCTGTCTGTGTAATAACCTTTCTGGAGAGAAAAGCTTGCCCCTCTTTCTTCCCTCAGGAAAAGTTTCTGCTGACGTGAACCCGCCACTGAGCAGGCCCTGCTGGAGAGGTGAGTAAGCAAGGATTCCGATGTCCCTCTTCTTACACTCCGGTATCACATCAAACTCAGCTGATCTCCACAGTAGGTTGTACCCCATCTACAATGAGTATCATATCTCAGTATCAGTATTCTACCTTAATATCTCAGTACTCTACCTTAATATCTCAGTACTCTACATTAATATCTCAGTACTCTACCTTAATATCTCATTAATATCTCAGTACTCTACATTAATATCTCATTAATATCTCAGTACTCTACATTAATATCTCAGTACTCTACCTTAATATCTCATTAATATCTCAGTACTCTACATTAATATCTCAATAATATCTCAGTACTCTACATTAATATCTCAGTTCGCTACATTAATATCTCAGTACTCTACATTTATATCTCAGTACTCTACATTAAAATCTCAGTATTCTACATTAATATATCAGTACTCTACATTATTATCTCAATACTCTACATTAATATCTCAGTACTCTACATTACTATCTCAGTACTCTACATTTATATCTCAGTACTCTACATTAAAATCTCAGTATTCTACATTAATATATCAGTACTCTACATTAATATCTCAATAATCTACATTAATATCTCAGTACTCTACATTAATACCCCAGTACTATACATGAATATCTCAGTATTCTACATTAATATCTCGGTACTCTACATTAATATCTCAGAACTCTACATTAATATCTCAGTACTCTACATGTATATCTCAGTACTCTACATTAATATCTCAGAACTCTACATTAATATCTCAGAACTCTACATTAATATCTCAGAACTCTACATTAATATCTCAGAACTCTACATTAATATCTCAGAACTCTACATTAATATCTCAGTATTCTACATTAATATCTCAGTACTCTACATTTATATCTCAGTACTCTACATTTATATCTCAGTACTCTACATTAATATCTCAGTACTTATATCTCAGTACTCTACATTAATATCTCAGTCCTCTACATGTATATCTCAGTACTCTACATTAATATCGCAGTACTCTACATGTATATCTCAGTACTCTACATTAATATCGCAGTACTCTACATGTATATCTCAGTACTCTACATTAATATCTCAGAACTCTACATTAATATCTCAGAACTCTACATTAATATCTCAGAACTCTACATTAATATCTCAGAACTCTACATTAATATCTCAGTACTCTACATGTATATATCAGTACTCTACATTAATATCTCAGTACTCTACATATATATGTTAGTACTCTACATTAATATCTCAGTACTCTACATCTATATCTCAGTACTCTACATTAATATCTCAGTATTCTACATTAATATATCAGTACTCTACATTATTATCTCAATACTCTACATTAATATCTCAGTACTCTACATTGATATCTCAGTACTCTACATTAATATCTCAGTACTTATATCTCAGTACTCTACATTAATATCTCAGTTCTCTACATTAATATCCCAGTACTCTACATGAATATCTCAGTATTCTACATTAATATCTCGGTACTCTACATTAATATCTCAGAACTCTACATTAATATCTCAGAACTCTACATTAATATCTCAGAACTCTACATTAATATCTCAGTACTCTACATTTATATCTCAGTACTCTACATTAATATCTCAGTATTCTACATTAATATATCAGTACTCTACATTAATATCTCAATACTCTACATTAATATCTCAGTACTCTACATTAATATCTCAGTACTCTACATTAATATCTCAGTACTCTACATTAATATCTCAGAATACATTAATATCCCAGAACTCTACATTAATATCTCAGTACTCTACATTAATATCTCAGTACTCTACATTAATATCTCAGAACTCTACATTAATATCTCAGTATTCTACATTAATATCTCAGTACTCTACATTAATATCTCAGTACTCTACATTAATATCTCAGTATACGTACTCTACATTTATATCTCAGTAATATCTCAGTACTCTACATTTGACCCCTATCACATTAAAAGTGGGTCAAGGACAGTCAGATGAACAAAATTTACGACATGATTTCAGCATGCTACAGGCCGAATCTTATCACCCTAGGTCTCTTGGAAATAGGAAAATGCTAGAAGTAAAAATGTTGACGCCAAACGGACAACAGACGGAGGATAAACAGTCGCTACACCACAGTATACTGTATGTTAGCTTACTTGGCCACGTAGGTCAGGTGAGATAAAAATGTACCTGGTTGGAGACCATCTTGGCACCTGCATCTGAGAAAGCTTTGATATTTTTGGGTCCAAAGTTTGATACACCATAGCTGCGGATTCTTCCCAGGGCTATTTGTCTGTCCAGCTCTTTTATACACTGGTCAAAGTCGCACAGGAAACTCGGAAAATGTACCTGTCATGTAATCATAAAGTGGTGAAAACAAAGTTCAATGTTATGAACATCAATAACAAGCTGAACTTTGATTGAAGAAGTACTTGTTTAACTCATTCACCCCTTACATTTATATTAGTAATGAACCATTGCAACCTTTGAATGGGAAGAGCTTAAATGTGTCTGCAGGTGTGAATGGGTTAAGGACACTTATACATTTTTTACACAAATTTCATACGAATTTTGAGTTACTTAAGTATATGTAAATCTTCAAAAGAAATGAAGCTAGCCTTGAGGTACATGTACATCTATATGGAAAATGGAATTTAAAAAAAAATAAAATAAAAAAAAATGAATAAATATGTGTTTAACACTGACCTGTAGAAGGTCTACATAGCTCATCTCCAGTTTACGCAGACTCTTAGTGATCGCTTCATCAATCTGTTCCGGGCTATAGGGAGGTGTCGAAGGTCCATCCCTGAAACCAAACTTTGTGGCGACTACGGCCTGGTCCCTTTTCCCCTTCAGGGCTTTCCCCAAAACCTCTTCTGATCCAGCATACCCCTGTAAAGTAAGCCTCACTTTAAAAGATCAATTAGAAAAACAATTAAATATTGGTAGTGCTGTTACATTGAATACTACTTATTACAATACACATGTATCCTATTCACCAGAATAACAAATCATAATAATCGGAAATATATAATAACAGACAAGCAATTTAAACGTCAGTTTTTGATAGCCTTGATCCTCTAGCCTATAATCATGAGACCTATGAAGGAGTCCTATATAACTGATGGAAACTAGAGTGTATACTAAAATACAATGTATGATTAATTTCTAATATATGATGGCCTACTGCATGTATTGAGAGCAAATTCATCACCACATTGAACATTAATAAACATAGAAGTCAAACAAGAAGGGCAAAATGAACACTGGGCAATTAGGACTTGTATTAATCATAGGGCGAAAGTTTCCCAGTATACAGTGTTCTGGACTGAGTTTTACTAAAGGTCTTAAGTCCAGACGCAAACGTAGATGTAAGCGTATATGTTAGTTGAGTTGTGATTTTAGTTATGTGTGCGTAAGGTCCGTTTTATCAAAAGATCATAACTTTGAATGTAAACATAGGGTTAGACGTAGCCGTACGTGTGAACTTACTCAGACGCAGACGTAGCCTTACGTGTGAACTTACTCAGACGCAGACGTAGCCGTACGTGTGAACTTACTCAGACGCAGACGTAGCCGTACGTGTGAACTTACTCAGACGCAGACGTAGCCGTACGTGTGAACTTACTCAGACGCAGACGTAGCCGTACGTGTGAACTTACTCAGACGCAGACGTAGCCGTACGTGTGAACTTACTCAGACGCAGACGTAGCCGTACGTGTGAACTTACTCAGACGCAGACGTAGCCGTACGTGTGAACTTACTCAGACGCAGACGTAGCCGTACGTGTGAACTTACTCAGACGCAGACGTAGCCGTACGTGTGAACTTACTCAGACGCAGACGTAGCCGTACGTGTGAACTTACTCAGACGCAGACGTAGCCGTACGTGTGAACTTACTCAGACGCAGACGTAGCCGTACGTGTGAACTTACTCAGACGCAGACGTAGCCGTACGTGTGAACTTACTCAGACGCAGACGTAGCCGTACGTGTGAACTTACTCAGACGCAGACGTAGCCGTACGTGTGAACTTACTCAGACGCAGACGTAGCCGTACGTGTGAACTTACTCAGACGCAGACGTAGCCGTACGTGTGAACTTACTCAGACGCAGACGTAGCCGTACGTGTGAACTTACTCAGACGCAGACGTAGCCGTACGTGTGAACTTACTCAGACGCAGACGTAGCCGTACGTGTGAACTTACTCAGACGCAGACGTAGCCGTACGTGTGAACTTACTCAGACGCAGACGTAGACTTACATGTAGCTAAAAGTTAAGACCATTAGTAAAACAGATTTTTGGCGTAGGTTACGCCTATGTCTACATCTAATCTAACAAAAAATTTATTAGATAGAATAAAACCTCTCAGAAACTTACACAGAACAACATGATCAGAAAGTCAACTAATACTTAATATACCTCTGCTGTATCGAAGAAATTCACTCCAATCTCTAAGCATTTGTCTACAATAGCACAGGATTGCTGCAAAAGAAAAAATTCAGATTAAAGAACATCATTAGGTTACAGATATGATATTAATCATTAATAACTAGAACACTGACAGGTCAGTAAGGGCCCCGTCTTGTGGCGATACATCCCCCATAAACCTCAAGAAGTAATCAGCCCATATAGCTGAGCTTGACGTTTGACATTTGGACTTCAAAAAGAATCGCAAGGAAGCAAAATATACATTTTACATGTACTATAATGTGAGTCTTGTTTCCTTCCACCTCCATATTTGCTGGGCTAACAGAAATGTAAATACTGGTGCAATACTCATTTGTTAGCTTTGATTTGTTTTATTTCACCTCCTCCATCAAGAGCCAGGGTCAAAGTCAGAAATCCACTTTACCTTTGACCTTTTGACCCAAATGACCTTGACAATTAACTCAGTGACCCTGATCTTTGGTCACTTGACTTATTCTTTAATTCCCACCAACTTTGCTTCATAATATCATAACAAAATGTTCATCAGTGAAAAATAAAAAACTTGACCTTGACCCTTTGGACCCCGTAACCTGGACCTAAGGTCAGTTGACTCTGTGTTAAGTTCTGAACAAGTTTGCTACATAATAACATAAAAAAAGTTCATCCGTAAAATGATACAATAATTGACCTTGACATTGACCACGTGACCTTGACCTTAAGTCAGTTGACTCCTTTTAAAATTCGGACCAACTTTGCTTCATGATGTTCATCAGTGAAAAGATTCAAAATTTGACCTTGACTTTTGACCCACTGACCTTGCCCTTTGGTCAAATGACTCCTTGTGTAATTCCCACAAACATTTCTTCAAAGTGTCATAATGAAATGTTCACAAGCAAAGAAATACTAAATTTTACCTTGACCTTTGACCCAGTGACCTTTACCTTTGGTCAATTGACTCCTTGTTTAATTCTGAGCAACATTGCTTCATCATGTCATACCAAAATGTTCACCAGTGAAAAGATACAAAATTTAACCTTGACCTTTGACCCAATGACCTTGACATTTGGTCAGGTTGACTCCTTGTTTAATTCTGATTAACTTTGCTTCATCATGTCATAACAAAATGTTCATCAGTGAAAAGATGCAAAATTTGACCTTGACCGTTGAATCTTATGACCTTAACCTTTGACCTCAACTTTTTACCTCAGTGTGTCTCTTTGTTAAATTCCGAACAACTTTGCTTCAAGTCATAAAATCCTCATTTGTGAAAAGCTATAAAATTTGACTTTGACCCCTGATGACCTTGACCTTTGATCAGTTGACTCCTTGTTTAATTCTGAGCAACATTGCTTCAAAGTGTCATACCAAAATGTTCACCAGTAAAAAGATCCAAAATTTAACCTTGACCTTTGACCCAATGAACTTGACACTTGGTCAGGTTGACTCCTTGTTTAATTCTGATCAACTTTGCTTCATCATGTCATAACAAAGTGTTCATCAGTGAAAAGATGCAAAATTTGACCTTGACATTTGAACCTGATGACCTTGACCTTTGACCCTGTGTGTATTTTTGTGAACTAAACATCTTGACCAAGTTTCATGTACATCGGTCAAAAAATACCAAAGTTATCAGCCAAGCACAAAATTTGTGGACGGACAGACAGACAGACAGTGATTACTATAGGGCACCCGTATCTCTGATACGGGGTCCTAATAATACAATAACTTATATATGTTGGGCTTCAGTTGAATATATCAATATCTGCCTCTGGGCTAGTACTGTGGCAGATTTTAATTGAACATAGGATTACGGTCGCCTTCAAGCTCCGCACTAAAAGGGAATTTCCCTTTAGCTCAGTGGTAGAACTTCTGTCTAGGAAGTCTGGGATTGCAGTTGTTTTCATCCCTTGAGGAAGCACACTACTCTCTTTCCTGTTACAGTACTATAAATATTAAATTATACACCCTTTAAGTCCCACAAAACATGGATTAGTCCCAAGGGGAGCTTATTAATTACTATAAACCTGGGTTTATCATCAATAAGTACGGTATGGTGTAGTCAGATAATGTCCAAGATTCCCACAGCACACCACAGCACAGGAATACATACACATGTAGGTCAGTGTTGGATCTGACCATGACCTTATTTGTATTTAATATCACAACTGTTTATCTTTCAGACTCCTAAGCCAATAATGCTGAGATAAAATCAAACACTACAGATACTTCACAATTTTGGGAAGACAGGGAAACTACAAAATGTAGGCAGGATATGGGACCGTATTTGTTACTTAAAAAACTGAATGTTAAGACAAACTGCAGTATTTAAAGCCTTCAAATTTAATTTGATGCAAATCAAATACAAGTTATAGAATAAATTATGTCAGGATACATATATATGCATGTGTTTACATAATCCTCCAACTTAAAGAGACACTATATGAATAAATGCTTGGCTAAGATAATAAGAAACCATGCAATCTATCAGTATACTCAGTACTCATGGACTTGTCCCACATACAATCTTGTCCCGTGTGACGTCTTGTTCTGTCTAATTTACCACCTAGCCATGGCATGCTGGGTCATCCCTTACCTGGTTTACAGTAGAGTAACAGCCACAGCTATACAATGTATAAGGTATACAGGTATAATGTAGGCTTCACTGATGCGTACAAGCAGGGCTAGCTGATTTTAATTAAACAACTAAATATTAGTTATTCTACAACAGTCATGAAACAGGTTATATCTCTAGCTTATATTTAACATATTGTTGGCCCAGATGTTGGTGCACACAAGGGGTCTTAATAAGGGGGAAACTGGAGAACCCAGGGAAAACCCATGTGATTGAGAAGGTGACCCCATAACTTAATTTTCACCTTTTCACTATACTCTATAATACATACTATAATATGGTATATATTAAACTGTTGCACATGTACATCATACATGAATGTGTCCACAGGAGTCAGTAATGACAGGATTTTTTAAAAAATATTATAATTGTTATACTTATATGATTAAACGTTGGTGGTCTGGTGGCACAGTGGATTGGTGCTCGGGTGGCGCAGTGGATAGCGCACTTGCCTTTCACCAAGGCGACCTGAGTTTGATTCCCCGATCGGACGTGAGAAGGTATAGGGTCACCTGCTCGTCCAGGAGGGTTTTCTCTGGTACTTGAAATAACTTGTTTCATAATTGTTTTAAAATCAATAAAGTTTATATTTATATTTAAACTTCAAACTACTGTGGTGCAGGTCCAGCACACTCTGCCGATTGAGCTATATAGCTGTAAAGACCTATGACCTAACGTCTGAAATAGGTATTTTGAGCTATTTTCAATTGATTTTCTTTTTTAAGGAAAACGAAACAAAGTCGCTTTTAAAAGAAGATTGTATCATTAGGTTGATAACAAATGACATCTTTTTAAAAAATAATGTTGTTATTTTTTTTACATTTAATGAAAATAAACATCTAACTGTATGCTTTTTGTAGTCAACATTACCATAAACCTTATTGTTTTATGCGACTTTGCTTTAATTAAATGAGAATTGAAATCTGAGAAAATATAGCTCAATACCGCTATAATTTATAGATGTATATAGATATATAGTCTTTATAGCTATATAGCTCAATCGGCAGAGTTACTCCCATAACATGAGAGGCCGCTGGTCGGCCTTTTTTCAATCGGATATGATTTTGCCGACTGTTACGTGGCGCCTGTCAAATGTTTTTCGCCGTGTAAAACCTCTAACATTGTTGGAGTATCGGCAGAGTGTGCTGGTGTGCCCCAGCACCTGTGGGTTGGGGGTATGGAGGAGGACAGGGCCAAAAATGACAACAAAATTTCACAGTGCTCATTTCTACTAGGTAAATACGGATGAGTAACAGCCGAAAAGTCCTCTCAAATCTTGGAATAGACGAAGACCTGGAAATTACTATCGTTAGAGTTATAGTCTTGCTCAAGTCCGATACTTTTTTAAAGGGGGAGGGGCCAAAAGATCTATTGCCTACCTCGACGGTTTGCGCATCCCAGTTGATGGTGTCTTTGTTACCGTTGAATTGCCAGCATCCTAGGCAAACTCTTGACACTTCAATGTCAGTACCGGGAAGCTTCACACGAGGCACAGCCATGCTTAGTTTTGATAAGACCGTAAGACGAAGTGGATCCGATAACGACAATCACATTGGGGTCATAAGCGGAACACTACTGTTGTCGCAAAAACAAATATAGAATGCTATCTAGATTGGTGCATGAACTGTTATCGTATTGTATAGAATCATTTCTACTAACAATAATTAATATGTATTCTCATCTTGAATAATTTAAACTATCAATGATAAAATGTAAATGTCGTAAATAGTTTATAATCCGGGTATTTTCAAGATGGCCGCGTCCATTGGTTCCATCGACTGGTCCGGCTGTTGTTGTTGTTTTTGCAAAATTACACTTAGGCCTATTTATTGTTTCAGTAATTATATTTAATGGACGCTTGACTTAACACAATAAAACTTTCCTTGCGTGATATCATCAGGGAATCAGTGTAGATTTACAAGCGTTATCGATTGCACCACACAGCGATAAACATTGCCAAATGGTGATGCAATATATTGAATCCCTAGATCCAGACTAGTGATAAAACCAAACGCTGTAATCGAACGTGTTGTAGTTGACAAGTTACCGCAGATTAACTAAGGTGAGCATCAAGGTTATTTCAATACAACCAATGTTATCTTAGCCATCTATTTCTTATTGCATTTTACAGTAATATTATAATTATCTTGGCATGGAGACTTATGTCTTAACACTCTCTGTTAATGTTTCATAATGTTTTATATATACTTATGTTTGTCGGAATAATAGCTTTTAATAGCTAATGTTAAATGTTTTTAAATATCCGACGTTAAATAAAGTTTATTGTATTGTATTGTATCTGACGTCGGGAACTTGGTCCGAAATATTTAAAATAGATTTGTTTGGGTGGAGGTTATGGAAGCCAATATTGCCACAGAGATTTTTTTATCTATAACCAGGCTCAGAACACTCTGCCTATTGAGCTATATATATAGCTGTAATGACCTATAATAGCTCTATTGACCTATCTGAAATAGGTCTTTTGAGCTATTTTCATGTGATTTTGTTTTTTAAGGAAAACGAAACAAAGTCGCTTTAAAAAGAAGATGTTATCATTAGGTTGATAAAAAAAACACCATAAGATACATTGTATAAGTTTTCTTTTTAAAAAAATAATGATGTAAAAAAAATGGAAATTTTACATTTATGAAAAATGAAAATAAACATCTAAATGCATGCTTTTTGTATTCAACATTACCATAAACCTTATTGTTTTATGCGATTTTGCTTTAATTTAATGAAAATTGAAATCAAAGAAATTCTAGCTTAATACAGCTATAATTTATAGGTAAATTATCTATATTTAGAGATTATCATAAAATAATTTTAAAGATTGATTTACAAAGCCCCACCCAAATTTTTATAACCATATCATTTTGTAAGAATTTGTGTATGTTTTGTTTATTTTAAAGGATAAAAACATATGATAAAAAGTATATGATATGACCATTTTGATATCAACTCCCCCCAATCAGCCCTAGAGTCCTAATATCAGGACTCTCAGGCTGATATGGGGTGTGATATCAAAATGGTCATATCATAAACTTTTTATCATACATTTTTATCCTAACATACACAAACAAATACTTCTTTATCTTATTTATATGCATAAAAGTGGTAACAAAAACAATGATGTATATAAACAAAACAGTAACAATTATACTTAAAAAGTCAACATTTAGAAATTCCCAAATTCCTACAAAATGATATGGTTATAAAAATTTGGGTGGGGCTTTGTAAATCAATCTTTAAATTATTTTCCATAATACCGCAGTTGTTCCATGCCAACAATTTGTTTGTTTACATTAAAAGTAGACAGCATTAAGTGGAAATTTTAGACTTAATTATTACACATACAAAAAGGGTGTTATTATTAGTAAACATATGATAAAGGTCTTTATAGCTATAGCTCAATCAACAGAGTGTACTGGACCTGATTACGACATTGTTATCTCATGATAATGACAAAGCTTTGTATCATGTAGTCTGAATAACTATGCTCCTAACGCGTTTATAAGAAAAAGATTAAAAGAAGATATTTATTTCAGACTGATGTATCCGAATATAATGACAGTTTATGTCGTTTTAGAGACTATCATGCAATAATGACTTAGATATCTGGTAATAGAAAGGTTCTCTCATAATAGTAATTGGTTATATATTATTTTCACAAAATAGCTACATGTATGTTGTTATTAATGTAAGAGGAAAGAGAGATTAGCTACCTTCATCCGGGGATTTAACCCGCCACCTGAAGCATCCCAGTCTACTGATTTTTAAAGGGTCATTTTTGTGTCGCCTGCGAAAAGCTGGTGACACATAGGTATTGCTATGGCGGCGGCGTCGGCTTCCGCACAGAGGTTTTTCATGCGAAAACTTGTGTTTCCTTGGGCCGATCAAACTCAAACTTCATGCAGTGCTTTCTTACCAAAAGTGCTTGCTTGGGATTGCTTTTCAGGTCCGAAGGTCAAAGGTCAAGGTTACTGTTACTATAAATAGAAAATCTGTTTTCGTGCGATAACTTAGTTTCCTTGGGCCGATCAAACTCAAACTTCATGCAGTGCTAAGCATACTTGCATTTTCAAGAATTATTTTATGGATACCAATGAGGCGATGCTGGTCTTGCTTGTTGCCAAATAAGGGCATTACGTAGGAAATGCAAGAACCTTTTTTATTTTCTAATCAATTCCTTTCAAATTTTTTACAGTAATGCTATAACTAGAAGCAATAATGTTTAACATATATTACAGGTTTTTCTAACGAGTTTCAACTTTCAGCGTTATGGCATATCTGTTTACGTGATAACTCAAGCCAAACCACTTTTCTTACTCAAAGCACTGAGCAGGCGACACATCCACTCCCGTGGAATTCTTGTTTAGACTAATCAGCAACTTCTCTTTTAGGAAAATGATCACCATCAATTGTGATTGTTACATAATATATACAGAGGCAAAATTGGACTTGGTTGATTGCTGGCACCAAGGTATAACGTTGCTGAATTGGTAAAAAAACCCACCAATATCTGTCAAGAGTTCAGAGGTCCCAGAATTGAATCCAAGTCTTGATATGGCCATACATTTTTCCACTCCTGTTACCTTAGGACTCATAGAACTTTACCCACTGAAGATGATATAATTAGGTCTCATACATGTATATGTCTTCAGGGTTGATTGTCGGCAACCAAGTTACTCAATTAGTAGAGCATGTGCATCTGTCTAGACTTTGAAGGGTCCCAGGTTCAAAACCTGGTCTGGTCGTGCATTTCTTTTCTCCTAATTCATTGGTACTTGTGACTAAACCCTTGTTCCAAGTATTGGGTGTATACTTGGCAAGGGAATGTACCCGAGCCTGGGTTGTAAATAGTGTTGTCTTCGGGGGCAAATACTTCAAAAAGGGTGGGAGGAATGTGCCCTATGTGCTGACATAATTATACAATTGATGACAATATGTCATTTTCGTTAAAATAAATACCATGAGGGCATTTCAGAGCAATTTGGTTTATGTGTGTGAGTGCATGTTCAATGAAGACGTGTATATATGTTTGTACATGTATCATACATACTACCTTAATTAATTTTCTGATATGGCTCAAACAGCAAATTTACCTGTATTATACTGGTAAAGCATGGAGCTCAAGTTGGATGGATAGATAAAAACTCCTCAATCTGATAATATTGTTTTGAATTGTTGACAAGGTATTTTATTAATCTTGAAAATATTCAGACTTATGCAAATTGATCCTTTTGTAATTCATAAACTTGCTTTAAAATGTTGCTTGATTATATATAACTTTAAATTATTTCTGTTTCCATTTTTTTCCATCAGAAATGGCATCCACATCTGCAAGCACTCCTCCAGGTACTCCGAAGAAGATGCAGAAGAGACAATCGAGGCAGTACTCGACCTGTCTACTATACAACACTGGCCAGGCCCTGGCTCAGCTCACAGACCTCACACTAGCAGCCTGTAACCCTACACGAGAGAGTCAAGGCACTCCAGCAGCAAGGGAAGCAGACAGCACTCAGCCAGGTAGAGATTGCACCTATATGTGCATTATAAAATGGTTAAATTAAGAAATATGTAATTTGTTGTTTGGGTGTTGAACATTTTATCAACATGTTCATGAGATAAATATCAGGGTACATGTACAAGTACATTATATATATATAGTGAAATAATTTCTGAATAATACTTTTTGTAATTAAGCTGTTTTGGTTGTGTTTTATTGTTTTGATTATCAAGTTGATCAGTAAACTGGTTCTTCTGTTGGAAGATTGTTTTAGTAGACTGTGTTACCTTAACTGTAGTAGACTGTGTTACCTTAACTGTAGTAGACTGTGTTACCTGTTACTAAAATTTATCCAGTTTGACAACTCTAATTACATTGCATGCAGCAGTAAATCATATTCTGACAGGGACATCACACAACTTATAATAATGATTTTATTACCTCCAGAGGTTGTAGTACAACAGCGGGCCGACTATACGTCTGTGTCAGAGAAGATGTCCTGTAACTATTGTACAACTGACTTCACTTCTAGGGAGGAGCAGGTAAAACCCTAAGGACCCCTGTACCACTGCCAAAAACTATAATGCATTGAAAACTTATCTAATCATCCATACCTAAAGCAGAAAATAGCTTGTACTGTCAAATACCACATACAATCTACTGGCCAGACTACCGTAGTAGACTGCTTATGACCACAGAATACCAATCCTTACTACCCTCCAGACTGGTAGTATTTGTATTGGTATGATAAATTAACAAAATTTTAAGGAAGTTTAACTATTAAATAAACATGATACTCCTTTCATTGTTTAATATGATGTTAAAAATATACAGTATATATTTATAGGTACAATATCAGTCTAATTGTGCATCTTTAAAATAATGGAACTTGGTCTGAATATAAAATGTTGTTTACCCAGGTAATTGTAATAAAACAAATCAAGGGGGAAAAAGCTTGAAGGTGATTTTTTTTTTTTATTTGTGTAACATGTTAAAACAACTCCTTCCAAGACAGAAATAATTTTTGTTTCACATACTTAAATGCAATTTTATTATGAAAACAGCAATTATGCATACTGGAATAAAAGTCCAGCTCCCTCCTATAACAAACTATTGCAGCTCTCTGAGAGCTGATTTTTCAGTGCTTATTAATATTCAGAGGTACTGTTGCAACACTTTATCATGTAGCGGCCATGGAAAGGAAATAGAGTAAAATTAAATTATTCATTAAAAATCTTTCCCAGGACCTGTGCTTCATGATTAAAACAAAATGAACACATCGTAATTATTAAAATATCCAAATAAATATACATTTACACGTATTATGAACACATTTTTTTTTTTTTACCATCCTATTGTCGAGAAACATGTGTGTATATAATGTTACATTTCTGTCCAGAGATAAGTTTGGCAAGACGCCCTTGCCCTATACCAGTACATGTACATCTAACAAAGAAATCCGGAACATATATTCAGACGATTTATTTTTAAACAATCCAGAAATATATTGAAGACATTTGAATTGCTTGCTCTTTCTTCATTGAAGCTGTTGAGTGAAGATTGTTCCTTTAATAACAAAAATGTGGATGAACCATTGTTTTTCAGACAAGACACTACAAATCAGACTGGCATCGGTACAACCTGCGACTAAGATTGAGGGACAAAGATTCTATCACAGAGGCAAAGTTTATTGAAATATCAGGTAAATTGGGATTTCAATTGAAAGTGAAAATATACAATTTTTCAGCTGTACCTGTAACAGTTTTGTATATGAATAGCTTCAAATATCACAGATTAAGCAAATATCACAGATTGATACCTCTTCAAACAAAGAAAACAGTTAATACATTTGTAACATATTAACTTCAGTATCAATTGAATTATTTTAATTGTACATACAATTGCTATTTACCCCC